AGGATCTAAATCATCGTCGTCCGGTTGGAAGAAGCAAGTACAATCGTCGGTGCATCGATCGCGAGGCGAGCAGGGCTGGACGGATAACCGTAGATTAGAATCTAATCGATTTCTACGATCCGTTCGAGTCGCGAGCTTGGTTCGAACTCGCGCAACCCGATTCGCGAAACGATCGGATCGCTTGAATCGCGGAAGTTTACGCGTTATCGACGCGGTCTTTGCCGATACTTGGACGCTTGTCGCCGAGTTGTAGCCAGGATCGGTACGTCGTAAATAGCCGGACGACGTCGAGGGCGCAACTCGCATGTCCCTCTTCCTTTTCCTCTTCCACCGTGCTCGCTCGTACAATGTTGCGACAAAACAGGAGGATTAATTCCTGTCGGACGAATCGGTGTACCGAGATCGAGATCCTACCAGCGCAACGGTCGGATCGAAATTTCTTCGATGAGAGAGGCGGAATGTTCGACGAGTATCTCCCTGCCCCCTCGAGACTCGTCCTCCACCGAGTTTCCACCGTTCCGAGCTTCCTATCGAGACGTTCGAGGGTAATAAACATGGAGCAAGCGGCTGTTATCGTAATAACGACTAACGATCGTCTAATTTATCGTCGGTGTATTCACGATTAGTTATCGTGATCGTTCGCCGTTCTTCTTTCATATTGCTAAGGACTTTAAACCGAGAGGATGTGCAATAATAAAAAGCACAAATTTAGGAATATTTCATTTTACAATTTAATAATCGTGGAATAAGGACAATGGTTCGCGAAAGGGGTGTTTCCGCTAGGTGTTTCACCCCCGATAGAGGAGCGACGACGAACGAGCCTCGCGAGAACAACGTACGTGGCTATCCTCCTTCGTGTACGTGCGTGACGTCAATATGTCCAGGATAATAAGATGGCCGGCGATAAAGTGGTGGGTGTAGATACAAGATAACAATCAGCTGCAGTAGCTCCTGGCAATCTCGTGATTACAGGCTTAGCCTCCAGTCTCTCGGTCTCTCTTTCACCTTGCATCGGTCGGTCGGTCGCGCGCGCGCGCGCGCACGCTTCTCTTTCGCCTTACCTCTTCTTCTTTCTTCGCGGTAACTCTTCGGCCGACTTTCTCCGAAGCTTTACGATATATTTTACAAACGATATAGATGGTCTACCCACGAGAAACCGGGCATCCTTCTTTTTCCCTGTCCAAGCTGCTCCCTGGAATCGTTTCTTCTCTCTCTCTCTCTGCTCGGCTGTTCGATCTTTCCGATTTTCGCACATCGAATATTACGGTCTGACGGTGCAAAACGAGAAGAAGCCGGCGCGGTGCGGCGGTTTCGTTCGGTTCGGTACGACGGCGACGGTGGTAGGGCGTTCCGACTCCCTGGCGGACCTCTCGCCGGCCCTTTCGCCAGGGGTACCTCTTAATAATAATTTTGATCGGCAAATTGGCGTGGTGCATATTTCGGCTCTTCGATCGTTATCTCGCGAAACTTTCGGCCCTTCCTGCGGTTCCGTTCTTGCGACGGATGGCCAGGGTGGCATCAGAAGAAGAGGACCGACGCGACGGTCCTCCGTTAATGCTACACTTTTGTCAGCTGACATCTCGTTTTTATCATTTTCTTCCCTCGAAAATTCGCGTGCTCGGGAACAGAGGGAGGGGACGTATCGTACGGGGAAGAGGAAGAGTAGCCTGGTAATTGCATCGCGTAGCAACGCGGACGAAGTTTGTCACGGTGGAAAGTTCTTGGAAGCACGGGTTCGAATAGTTTGCAGCTGGTTCGAAGGTGTCCGTCGAGCGGGGAAAGCCGGCTGCTCGATTTCAAACGCAAATTCGCGTCGGCCGCGAGTCCCGTGCGAGTTTCGTTGGTGCCCGCCAAGGATCGTGGTCGAGGAAGTTAACGCGGGACCATTCGATCCTCCGCCGCCGGCTATAATCGAATCCCATCTCGGACAAGCTTAATCCATTCCTGCCGGCGACGCTTATGACGTCTCAGCGAACGATCGAGAACTCGAGAGGGTCAACTAACACCTTGTTTCCGTCTGTCCGTTTCCGGCGAACCTAGTTGCTTCCATTAAGTCTCCTCGATCTCGCTCGTCGTTAATTCTCGAGGAAAGAGAAACAGCTACATCGAAAATCGCGATCCTCCAAAACGGGATGCGAATTGAAATTCCAGTCACGAACCTTTGGCAGTAAATAAAACCATTGTCTTCTTCTCCCCACCATCGTTGACATATTTTTTCGCGCTCCTCGAATCGCTCCACGCGCGAGCTATCGATTTCTTCTCCCTATAACTCGAACAGAGATGATCGTTTCGAAAATTTTCCTAAAATTTTTGCAGAATCTCGTTCGAAATGCATGGAGGAAACGTGGATTCTTTTTTTGAAATCGAAACATCCCCCTTGCTCGACGGTCGATCATTTCTCTAGGAAGAATTTCTTCCCTCATCGAGAGTTCCATTTATTCCCAGGGGATGGCAGCACGTTCACCGACAAACTCGCTCGAATCGCTGGGGGAAATGTTCGCATAGGGGTTGCGGAGGATTTTTTCCTCTCCAGTAAGGGTGAACGCGCCGCGCACTGCTGCCACCTCGCGAGTAATTTTCTAACCAAACGCTATACCTTTCTCCGTCTAAACGTAGCCTTCTCTTCCATCCCTCCCTTTCGATCTCACCGTCCCCCTCTCCTTTCATCCCCACTCGAACGAAACGTAGCTGGCTCCTTCTCCTCTCGCAGTTTTGCTCGCGTTTTTCTCCCTTTTCCGTCGCGCACCCAATCCCCTATTTCACTCCCTCCCTTCTTTATTCCTTCTTCCTTCCGTACGTCCTTCCTCGAGGGAAAGCTCGACGACGCGTGTGCACGCGGCGAGAAAAAGCTGTGGCCCGTCGTAAAAATCGTTCTGCGTATTTCGTATTAAAATATTAAAATATTCATTCGAAGCATAAAGTCGACCAAATTACGTCGGTTACCGTCCTCCATTCACGTGTCGTACCGTTCGCGACTATCCTGTTATATTTACGCTGGCCGCGACCTACGCCACGTTCCAAATAATTTCGATCGGGAAAACTTGCGGCCCGCTTCATTTTCCGAAGAGGGAAAATGTACGAGGAGCGGAAGTGGTGAACGAAGCGACGAGTTTCCGTGCAATTTCTTCGCGACGGCGACGGCACGGACGGTTTCGTGTCCCGGTGTTGTTCACAAATGTTTTCGCACCCCGCGTAGCTGCTCGAGCACGGGGACAAGGTGCAGCCAGGGCGCGCCCCCTAGGGGTGCACGGTCAGAAAAGAGGCGACTAAATTATGCAAGCAAACGTTCAGGTAGTAAAGCGTTTTCACGTAGCACGTAGCAGGCCGTTGCTTGCTTTCGTTCGATTCGTCTCCTCTCCTCTCCTCTCTGTTCCTCCGGCGTCGGTCTGCTCGTTTCCCGCGGCCTTCGGGTCGCTTCAACCCTTCGAGCAACTGCCTCGCTACCTGTCGGGTCCTAAGCAAATATTTCGGTACGTGCTCGCGTTCGATCCAATTCGACGTAACGCGAAATCGAATCAAGATTGCGACGAAGACTTCTTTCGAGGATCCTCCGAGAGGGTTGGTCGCGAGCGATCGACGGTCGGCCGTGTGCAATAAAGTTGGCAAAGAAGCGATAATAGCGGGGTTGCGTTAAAACGCTCGTAATTCCAGCGAAACGGTCCGCGGCGGGCATATAATGACGGGCCGTGTAAATGACAGAGCCGATCGGACATAATTGGCAGTCGGTGGTGCGTTCGAAATTCCTAGCCTCGCTTGATACTCGGCTATACTTTGCGAACGGTATCCTCCTGCTTTCCCGCTCCTTTTCTGCCCACGACGCATGCTGTTTTAACATAGTCGACTAAACGATTTTGAAGTTGGCAAACATAGTTTTCTGTGTTCACGATTTCTTCCCGCGAGAGATGGTCAGATACGGGACAGTGGGTTCGCGTTTATCAACCACCCCTGCGAAACGTCGAGGAGAGGAGGAATCGGTAGGTCCCATCGAGAAAAGTCGACGGTGCCCACAGGTGCGAAGGCGTAAAGCCAGCTGGGTAGTTGAAACGGTACGACACAGGGGGATCCCCGGCACACGATGATCTAACTCGCCCCTCCCGAGGGGTGGCTGGCACGTACTGCATAATGCTGCTACCTGTGGCTCTCATTTAAATGTACTAAACCTCGCTTGCTCGCTCGCTCGGCCCCTCTCCGTTCCTCCCTCGTGTACGCTTGCTTGCCGCGCACCCGTTGCTTCGCGCTCCACGAAACAGCCTTTTTTATTTGCCCGTTCCTATTGATACACCACCCCCTCGGGGGTCCCGACGGTCCGCTTTACTCGCTAATTAATCGCCTCTCGGGAGAGGTGCGAGTACCTGTTGCGTACGCTACACGCGATACTACCAATTTTCAATTACGTTTTTCTATCTTTGCCGATGATTTCGCAACTTCCGTTCGAGAAGTCCTGGAAGAAAGCACCCTCTTCTGAATAGGCCGTTGCACCTGTTGCACCGCGAGTTATGCGAATCGCCAAAATCGTACGTCTCGCTACGTAAACAGCTTGTGAAAATTAGAACCTGTTGCGTGGTGCGATCGGACTTCCGGCTGGAGAGAAGACGGAAGAAGGAAAAGATGGCAAGGCTAAGCGAGGAGCGGATCGGGATCGAACGGAGGACGATACGGTTCTGGCGGCTCGATTTTCGACTCGTAGGTGTTTGGGGCACGCGGTGGCGCGAATGTCAGCGAGTGGAGCGAGCGTGAAGCGAGTGAACAGCGAACACTCGCTAGTCGAACGGTGCGGTTCAGGTGAGTCTAGGAGCCGCGAGGCGGACGAGGAGCGAGCAGGGGTGAGAGTAGTGGCGCCTGGGGTGCGTAGGCTGCCTCGGAGGCGCGGTCGGTCCAGGTTCCGCCCGACGGTGACGTACGTCGACGGCCACCTTGCGAGTAGGGCCAATGGGAAAGCGTACGGCAGGGTTCGGTGGGGATGTGCAGGACGGTGGCGCGCATGACTCGGTTCCACTGAGCGCTCCGGGAGCCTCGGGAACCTCGAGCGAGCTGCGAGGCGAGGCAGTCAGTCGCTCTCAGCTACGACATGCATAACGCATGAGAGAGCCGAGCGAGATCTTTTCCACCCGTTCGTTGTTGTCGTCGTCGTCGTCGCCGTCGTCGTCGTCGTCGTCGTTGTCGTCGTCGTCATCGTCGTCGTCGACGTCTCTCCTCTCGCTCCCGCGTACGCACACTCGCACGGGAGACACCGCGAGGAAAACATACACGCGCGCGCAAAAGTAGACAACGTCCCGTGCTCGTGCCGTTCCGCACTCGTATCCAAGTTGTCGCGAATCGGTTACGTTCCTCCGCGAGACCATCGGCGTCCAGTGTCCGAGTCCCTTCGCGTCCTGCCGAGACACCCTCTCGGCTGACGGACCGCGAGTGTAGCGCGAGCCGCAACGCGCAACCCTCCTCGGCACGAGTCTTCGTCGAGTCGTTCGCGATCGCGCCACAGCGATGAGTGATCGTCCGACACGCGAGTGATTCGCTCTTTTGGAGTACTACTAGTCGTCGAGCAGCTAAGGTGTGCCGTTCTCGTGTGCCAGTTCAACGTAGGAGATCCTCCACGGAGGAGGAGAACGGAGGCTGTCGCGAAGGAGAAATTCGCGCTTCGAGTGTTTTGCACCGAGAGAAACGGACAGAAAGGAGAGGACACACAGCATCGCAGGAAATAAAACTATGGACGGGTCGTTTGCAAGAGCGACGATGTCTCTTGATAGGAATTTCGTGTGTCGCCGCGAGAGATGGACTGTTGTAGTGTATAACGTGTGATCGGTGATCGTCGATCGGAAACGATAAGAACTTACGGAATTTCAACGTCTGTCACGGATACAACGAGCCAGACAGCAAGAAGAATAAACGAAAGATTCGAAGACAGGGAGGCGAAGTAAGAAAGGGAGCGAAAAGGAGTAGGGTGCCCTATTGAGGGCAGCCCGAAGGCCCGTTGGGCCGGCAAACATTGAGGAAATTTGCGCAACCGATAAACTAGGGAATAAGAAGAGATAACAGGGTAAAGCCGAAAAGAAAGGGAGAAAGAAAAGGAACAGGAAAACGAAAGAGAGGAAGGAAAAGAAAAAGATAACAGGGTTCGGCGGAACCTCTGTACGAGGGGAAGTAGATGGCCGCTACCACGTACATGCCGATTAGTAGCGCAGTGTCGTCCGACCTGGATGGTGGTTCGGGTACCGCGATCGGGATGAACATCGCCGTGGGTGGCTACTCCTCGGGCTCGCCTCGCAGCGCCGCCGACGCCGGGGAGATGAAGTACATAACGACGCCTCAGCATCATCACCACCATCATCACCATCACCAGGTGACGTCGTCGCCGTCGCCGAACGGCTTGTCGCACCCGTCGGCGAACCTATCGTCGGCGAACCCATGGGTGAGCCTGCAACCAAGCAGCGACCATTGGGCGGCCTCGATGGGCATGCACCATACGGGCCATCACCCGCACCATCATCCGCACCAAACGAATCCCGGGTTAGACGTGAAACCGCTGGCGGCTGCGGCCGCAGCGGCAGCCGCCGCGGCCAACGACCAGTCGATGCATCCTCACCGTGGCGGTCCTCATCAATCGCCCGGAATGGCCTCGCCGCATTCTTGGCACGCGCCGGTTGTCCCGTCGGCCCATTATAATCCGAGCGGTGGCGCGGCCTCGCCCACCACCCTTCAACAGTACCATGCCGCGATGAACGGTATGCTCCACTCGCATCCCCATCAACATCATCCGCAGCTGCAGAATCACCAGACCGGGCTTCACCCGAACTTGAGGGATCCCGGCTCGCCGGTCGGTCACTCGCTTCACCCAGGCCACGCGCACGACAGGGATCACAGCGCCGGCGAAGAGGACACGCCGACATCCGACGATCTCGAGGCGTTCGCGAAACAATTCAAGCAACGGCGCATCAAGTTGGGTTTCACCCAGGCGGACGTCGGTCTCGCGCTCGGTACTCTCTACGGCAACGTCTTCTCGCAGACGACGATATGCAGGTTCGAGGCTCTCCAGCTGAGCTTCAAGAACATGTGCAAGCTGAAGCCGCTGCTGCAGAAGTGGCTCGAGGAGGCGGACTCGACGACCGGCTCGCCGACCAGCATCGACAAGATCGCGGCACAGGGAAGGAAACGAAAGAAGCGAACGTCGATCGAGGTGTCGGTCAAGGGCGCCCTCGAGCAACACTTTCACAAACAGCCGAAACCCTCCGCCCAGGAGATCACCACTCTGGCGGACAGTTTGCAGTTGGAGAAAGAGGTGGTCAGGGTGTGGTTCTGCAACCGGCGGCAAAAGGAGAAGAGGATGACGCCGCCGAACACGCTCGGCGAGGGTATCATGGAGGGCATGCCGCCCGGACATCAGGGACAAGGGGGCCTCCACCAGGGTTACCATCCGCAGGATCACCTGCACGGCTCGCCGATGGGCCACAGCCACAGTCCACCCATGCTCAGCCCTCAGGGCCTTACGGCTCACTCGTTGGCGGCTCACTAGCGTTCGCCCGGGCCTCCCCCGTTGGGCCTGTCGATAACTTCTCAAAACTCGGTGAACAACCCTACTTCCTCGCCGCCGGAGACGCTCCCTCCGTTCTATCATCATTACCTGCAAGCGCGCACCGGCAGCTACTCCACCACTTCGTAGCCACTTTCTAGTGTCTACGAACCAGCCGTACAATGCCGCTTCGCCTGTTCGCGCTCCTAGTCCGAGCTGCAGGCTGCACGCTCGACCGACGAGCCTGTCGTCGACCGGTGGCACGCTTCAACACGTCCTATGCCAGCCGCGCCACCCCCACGACAGGCTTTCGTCCGTCTCTACGACGAGGTTCAACGGGGTTCTACGTAGCCGAAAAATAAATCCGGTCCAACGGGGAGGCTTGCTTCGCGCGATCCTAATCGCGCCCGCCGACACACCATCCGCTTCGCCGAACATCCTTAAAACGCATCCGGAAGATCGTCTACCCAGAAGAGACACATCGCGATCGAACTCTGTTACCTCGTGTCTCAGCGATATTTAAGTTCGCGAGTCGCCAGTGACGCGGTGTTTCGCCCGCTTCCGGCGATCTAAACCGCCCGATATTCCGGTGCCCGAGAGTGCGTAATTCGTGTACGGCCAACCGAATCCGTCCGTCCATCCATTCGTTCGTTGTGCATCGCTATGATCGCGGTGCGAGTGAAGAAGAAAATGAGATGAGATAATGAAAAAACGAGTGCGAGAGGACGTTTTGGTGCGTCGCGTCGCGTCGCGGACAGAGCCCGACGGACGGACGGGGTGGCCGTACGGAGCAAAGCGAATGGAACGCAGCTAAAGGCGAAGAGCGGTGTGTTCGAGCGGGATTTGTCCGAAGCAAACCCGCCGGATGATGTAACATAAGTAAATATGGACTGTAAATAATGTACTAGATAAAGCTAGTAAGTTAAGTGAGAGAGCGCGCATCGTGGTCGTTTTCTTCGTCGTCGCCTTAGCCGTCGCCATCGCAATCATCGTCGCCGCCGCTGTCGTCGTCGTCGTCGTCTTCACCCTCTTTGCTGGACCGGACGAAACGGATTGGACATCTTGGAGGCAACGGGATCGGAATGAAAACTGGAGAGAACGGTGTGGCGCGACGAAGTAAACGACTAAAAAAAGACAAAGAAATTCGCAATGAGGGACAAGACACGCGTTTAAACGGGGAACTCGCGCGTGTCGGAAAATGTGTGCCGAATCCTAGCGACAGCAGAAACCCCTCGCAATGAAAAACCCCTTCTGTAAAAAGAGTAAGTATGTAAACATATAAATATATATATATATATATATATATAAACAAAGATATATATTATATATACATACAAATGAATATAAATATTATATATATATGAATATAAATATAAAAAAGTCTATGTATATGAGAGAGAAATTTATAGCGACGTCGAAAAAGGTTGTAGCTAATATTATAATTACATACTGCGATTGTTTATCATCGTCGAGGCACCGTTTCGCGAGTAAACTGTTGTAAACGACAATAGATCCGTCATTTATAATTTGTCATTGCTACGATGATTTTTATTATTATTGCTAATTATATTATTCGTCATCCTTTATTGTCATTTATTATTATTATTCTTTATTATTGCGATTATTATTAACATTGCTATTATTAATGTTATTACCATTCTGTTGCCCGGAGGCTAATCGTGGAGCGAGAATCTTGCGTTTTCCGTCGCCACCGGGCATCGAACGCGCTCCTCTTTCTCTTTTTCTCTTTCTCCACTTTTATTATTTTCGTTTATTCAATTATTAGCCGGGTTAAACGTTTTCCTGATCCGTTTCTCTTCTCTCAGCTTCTTTCGATCGGTTCCGCGACACGAAATTTTATTTTGATTTTCCAGCGTAACGGTATTTTTCCGGGAAACATCCGCGTAGAAATGGACGTTCTCGCTCCGCGATTGGCAACGGGATTCGTATCGGCATTAAATTTCATCCGCGATGGAAAATATTTGCGTTGTTTTTCCGCGAGTTGGTCAGCTCTCGGCGTCGCGATGGCTGACTCGTCACTATTTCCCTCCGTTTCTTCGATCTACTGTACATACGCTAAGGATTAAGACGTCGTCGCGACGCGTGCGAATCGGAATTGTTCGGAAAAGAATTCGTCGAAAGGGATACGGTTTGCGAACGCGAGGAACCTCGTTCGATCTTTGCGTTTCCCATCAAAATTTCAACAGAACGAATTATACTTATCTGTATACTCGCGTTTTAAATTTGTCCCGTGTATTTTATGGTCGTGTTAAAGGACGAGACTCGATCGCGGATTGAACGAGCACGGTTACAGGGTAGAATTCGTGTCAGGAATGTCCAACTTGTCGCGACAAAGGGTCGCGGCCACCCTCTCGATATTTCCTGGGGTCTGGAATTCATCCTCTGGACAACCGGTGAGTCGTTGTTCCATCTCGATGTTCCATCTCCCATCGCGTTGTCGTCCGTTGTAAACGAGCCACGTTTAAAAAAGCATAAACCTCCCTCGCTATTAGGATGGTTGGATAGTTCCGAGTGCGACGTTGTCCTTTCGACGACTCTATTCGAAGAGAAAATTAAGAGACGAGACGTTGGGCCGACGGTGGAGGAAAATTTTGGAAATCGTCGTAAGGGTAAAACGTTCCTCAACAATGTTCCAAAGACCGCTAGTTTTCCCTCTTTAATGATACGTTCGCGTTTAACGACAACACCCTCGTTAGGCTCTCTAGAATATTTCTTTCGAAAAAATTGCAGACATCCTATAGTCTTGTTTCGTTTCTTTAATTTCTCAAGGCTGATCGATCGTTACGCTTTCTTTGGCTCGCGGTGTCGACGTTTCCTGCAGGGATTACGCGCGTTATCGGTGACACGGTTTCCGCGATTATTTGCTCAACTGGTCCGACCGTCGGTGCTCTATTCGAGCCCGGTGGTCTCGATCGGAACGTAGAAACGAAGAAGGAAAGAATAGAAGAGAACGCGTGAATCTTTGCTAGCAAAGGTGTCTATTATTCGCGTTTGGCGCCGCGCGAACGAAAGGGAGAGGCGAGAAGAGAAAGGAAAGAGGCGCGATTGAGAGTTTGACAGCGAGGAAGAAGGTCGACGTAGCAGGGTAATTAATTTTCGCGCCGTTTCTGCGAAGGTAGCCGTTCGATGCCCGGCGAACGATAACGAGGACGCGTTCGACACGCGGCTTATCAATTAATCGATCCCCAGCTTATCGGCTCAGTTTCTTTTTTTCTTTATTTTTTTTTTTTTTTTGTTGTTGTTTCTTTTTTTCGTTTTCTGTTTTAACGAAAGATGAGAACGAGGAGAGTGGAGAACGAGCGAGCGCGATTCGTCGAGCAAACGAAATCATCTTGCGTATACCACGTTGTTTTGTTGATCATCGTCCGTTCGGGGACGCGTATCCTCTCGCGGCTTCTCGCGACGAGAGACGACTCTTTCACCGTGATGATTTTTTTTTTTTTTATCGAGAAATCGCGACAGGATACGCGCAGGCGTTTTGTAAATATACGGAGAAACGATGCGTGAAATGATCGGATGAAACGGGACGGAAATGGAAGAGTTCGGTCGATTCGGTATGCCGATTTAACGAGAAAGGTAGCGTTCGAAATTCCGCTCGTCGCCTCTTGATCGAACTCTTCGATTTCTGCTCGACGCAGCCACGAAATTTTTCATTGGCGGATCAAGCAGTGAGAACATGAGCGACTGTGAATCTGTGCGAGTGCGTGTGTGCCGGTGTAGTTGAAAGAAAGAGAAGAAAGAAAAAAAAGGTGTGTTGTAAAGATTACTTTAGCCGTACGCAAATCAGGCGTTACACGCGAGCAGAACAGGACCGAAACGAAAAGAAACGCGAAAAAAAAAAAAATAACTGTAAACATCTCCTCCTTCTCCCTGTATATTATTATAATTAAACATTAATTATTATTAACGTAAAATAAAGATCTGGCGAATGGTGGTGACACGTTTTGTTAGAATGGCAGAAACTAAATTACTACTGAATTTTAATTAATAAACGACATGAAAGTAATACAACGTATTTGCCGTTTCTTTTCTTTTTTCTTCTGATTCATTTGCCAAGATATCGCACCTGACGAGATTAGGGAACAGGAAAGAAGAGAACACGAAAACAGGCTGATCCTCTGATTCATCGATTTCGTTTTCGTTTTCGTTTTCGAGAAACGTCGCTTTAATTAACACTTTGATGGACGGTGTCGCGTATTCATAACTTCGGTATGTGGATTCTTATTTATAGGATCCATTAATGTTTTTCGGACGAATTATATTTTCAAGCGTAGATTGAAAACTATCCGGTACTTTTTCGAACCCTTTTCGAACGATTCGCGTTACTCGATTCTTTCGCTTTCGAAACATTCTCCAGAAGACCAAACCAGACGAAGAAATGAATTTCCAACACGCGATCGCAACGTTTTCTTAAACAGTTCCCTCGTTACTTAATCCAACAACGCGTAAACAACAGCGAATGGCAAAACCGACGTTTCATCGAGTAGAATTCAGCTCGATAATTATTTCCATCGCGATACGATTCGATGCGATGCGATGCTTCTGTTCACGTAGAAGCGCGTTCCATCGGTTCGGTGAACGTTTTCGTTTCCCCTCTGCTTCGTTCTCTGTATCGCAAAGATTTCGATTGCTTGTAGCTACCAAACGAGATTTCATAATTGCGAGTCTCGGCGAGTTTTCAACGATCTGCTCGAATCGTTTCCAATCCCCTCGTAGATATCCACGGTTCCAATCGGCCGCGAAATAATTGGAGGTAGAATTCTGGTTGGTCCAATTTTTGCTCGCGGAAGCGAATCGTGTTCGGTTGGAATCGTGTGATTTTTACTCTGACGGTGAGCTGTCTGCTGGAAGAAGCAGAAAATTCTCCTATCGTTACGTAATCGAGATCCGAGACGTTGAACTACTTTGCACAGCTGGGATTTTCGGTGTCTGGATCCACTGGAAATTACGTCGAACGCGTCAGAAGATATCGATAAGAACCGATACACTTGATTAAAACGCAGAACTAGTCGTGTTTTCAGGGTTAAATGAAATTATCTTTAATCTTTTTTCAATTCTGTTCATTTACAATTTTCTTTCGTTGCTTTTCAACCCAATTGACGATCAACCATACCGAAACTTTTATTTTATATTCCTAAAATTCTTTCGCTTTTAAAATATTTCCTATTTAGGGGATGTTGTTCTCAGCTTCTAAAATAATAATCGTTTGATTTAGAAACAAGGTTGCTCTTTCGTACACTGTTAGACAGGATAGGATTTTCTTAGACGTTTCTCGCTCGTAAATTTAATGGTGTTTTAATGGAGAAACAGGTAATAAAACGTAAATCGAAACGAGCTTCGTCAGGCATCGATTCCAAACGGTCTGTTAATCGACGTCGCGTTAAGATCCTCGAGGAAGGGTTGTAGGACGATCGAATAAATTTCATCGGATCGTCGCGCTCGATCCCTCGAAGAAGGTGTTGCTGAAAGGTGTCGCGTTACGATCTTTCAGCTACTTGAGGGAACGATAATATTAATAATCAGGCGGGCCGGTTGCTTGATCGCCGATACTCCCTGAAAACTGGTAATCCAACGTTCACGCTCATGGACAGACCAGTCCATCGTTTCGCTGATTTACCGCCGCTTTTGCTTCGCGAGTTACACCGGATTCAACGCTTCGTAACTATGATAGAAAGGATTTATCGACTCCTCGTTGAATCCCGATATCCTTGGTGGAAACTTGAATTCTCGAGGCGGGTTCAAAGTCGTCGCGATATTATGGAAACGTGACGGTTTAAACGCGAAAAACGCTCGTCACCCGGAAGTTTCAATGGCTTTAATTGCACTGGGACAAGGCGTTGATTATTCTTGCTTTTCTCGTCAGAGAATTCTTTGTCCGCTTCGCGTTTCGAGGAAAATCAACGCGAGCCAGCCTCGCCAACGGGTGACCGTTAAATCAATTTGAGGAACAGGTTTTAGTCAGACGTGCTTGTTTCCCTATCGATTCTACGAAATCCTGTGAACCTTGGTGCGAAGCGAAATTTTCATTTTTACCACACCTAACCGGGTGACGTAAGGATCACGCTAAAATTATACTGCTACCGATCGAAATGCCTCTGCGGTGATTGTCGAGCAAAATTAATACGCGTGACGAGAAAACGAACGAATTCTGAGGATATATCAAAGGAAGTCGCTGCAGGGATAGAAAAAGGCGCGAAAGAACCAGGTGTCAACGAGAAAATCTTTGCCGGTTTCACCTAGCCGGTGCGTGACACGCGCGAACAATGAGCGCCGCTTCGAAAGGGGATGAGAAAGTGTCAGGTGGAGGGGGCAGGTTCGCGAGGGTAAGGGACGCGGAGGGGGACGCTAGAAATAGAAAAGAAAAACAGAGGAAAATGCGGAGGAACTCGAGATATATAATGGCGACAGGTCATAGAGAACTTACCCCTTTTGATTAATACGTAAATTATATAAAATACTAGTTACTAAAATGTGGGAATTATAAAATTTCAAAGGCTTTTATAAAAATTATAGTAGATATCTCAGGGGTTTCGAGCGAAAGTGTAAGAGATTGGTAGAAGGGGTAGGAAAAACTGAGGATGAGGAGGGAGAGGAGTCTCTGTGAAAGATAGGGGCAGGAAATTGAAGGGAAACGGATCGAAGCGCAGGCGCCAGCAACCCCCCTTCGAATCGCGAAGACATGCGCTCTCGGATAACCACCCCGTTTCCTCTCCGCCACCCTCCGCGACCTTCTACTCGGCTACCCTCGCCACCGACGCCGACGTTTCGTTCACACCTACCAAAATTATCGTTATAGGCGTACCGTGACGTCTGCGTACACCGGTTTCGCGATCGAGTTCGTGCACGCTCGCAATTCGTGTCGCGGCTTATCCCCCCAATCCCTCGATAAGAGTTTGTCGATAACAGCAGTATCGTCTCGTGGGTTATTCGATCGGAATTGTCCTTTCTCGTTGCTGTTTTACCGAATCACTGATTCTATTTTCAAGATCGATGGCTTTCCCGATGTTCGAGCAGCTTTCCGTCGCAGTGGATTAGGCTGACCGATCGGTCAGACGCGTGCGTGCATCATCTACTTAGACTTTCGAGCGCTCGCAGACGTGATTCAGGGGACTTCAAGTTCATGCCTCGACGATTTACTATTAGATACTGTTGGTAGCGGCTGGTGAATCATTTAGAATTTCATTCGAACTCCGAAAGTCTTGATGGTACTTTGATTTTTTTGAAATAAAGGGTTGTTGGAGAGGGAGAAAGCGATCAGTTTCCTCGGCTCGTTGACATTCCACAGACGCATTAGCGAGGCGTGAACAGATCCTGACAGCGGCGCATTGATTTAATAACCGATGCCCACGCTCGAGGATGGTCGTCGTCGTCGCCGTCGCCGTCGTTTCTCTCGTCCGAGTTTGTTCGCGAACGGACGTAAGTACGTATACCTACGTCCGTCCGCGCTCGCAACGACGTGGACGGACGATACGCGGCACTCGCGGCACGCGTGTGCGGAGGAAACAATTGAACACCGTCCATCTCTCTCGCTCTTCTTTCACCGTTGGTCTCTTCTTCTCCTCTTCATTGTCTCTTTGTCTCTTCGTCGCCTGTCCAGGCTCTTCCTCTCCTTCTCTTTCTCTTTCTCTTCCTCTCTGCCCGTCCCTTTCGTCGCCGACACCGGGGCCTGTCTCTTCCTCTACGGCTCAGCAGCGAAGCTTAATAAGCACAGCTACCTACATTCCATTTCCGGTGCGCTGACGTCACTTGACAATCCGGCTACGGAGAGCTCGTCGAGCCACGTACTGAGGCTCGTCCATCGTTTAGGTATACCCACACCTCCGTCGACCCAACACCATCAACCGTTCTGCGATTTCCTCTCGCGACCTCCGTCGGACGCCCAGCGTCTCCTCGATCGAGGACGACCCGATTCGATCGAGCGCACCTTCGATCGGCATTCCATCGTGAGAAAACGCCAGGTCCCAGTCGAAGGGTGCAATGCTACTCGAATTTCTTTCCCGCTTTTCTTCGGGAAAATTAATCATCAGACCAGCTGACACCCGGTTCTACCCTTTTCTTTTTTCTTTTTTTTTTTTTTTTTTTTCGTCTGTCGTTCTCGCGAGGAGTGCTTGATATTGCGTAGCAATCGCGAGGTAGAAAAAGAAAGAGAGAGGTACAGGTAGGGCGAGGAGTTGGAAGAGAAGGAACGAACGCAAAGCAGGTAGGCCTTGAACAGCTCCGGACCCACGCGTACGTACGACTCTCTAGGAGCGTTGTTGGCTCGTATATAGAGGCATTCTCGGTTCGCGCTGCCGGGCAAAAGACAGATAAATAACTCAGCTATGGCATTGGCTAAGTAAACGAGCCTACGCGCGCATTCGTGAAACGTACACCTGTACGAGTCGCACGCGTACAGCTTCGTTTCTCGTTGCGCGCACCTTCGTCGTCTATCGTAGCCATCTCTTTTTCTAACTCGCCTCCTTCGAATCGGCTCGATCTTTGTCGCGCTCGAACGACGAAGCGGCAAACTCGCGCGTAGGCGTGACTCGCGAGAGTGTCTCGCTGATCTTACGAACGACGCGGTTTTTCTATGCGTCCAAAGAACGCTCAGGGCTTGCGACAGTGTGCGCGTTTAACCGCGGCAGATAGCATCGAGAGGACGTAACCAGAAGAAAGATCGAGCTTAGGTCCCTCGGTTTAGGTAGCCGAGAACCCGTCCGCTTCGGTTTACGACTCCTCGATACTCCTCGACGATATCTCGCTTATTAGATTCCTCGTCCTTCGGCCTGCTTGCGTTCGCGGCTCGCGCAATCAGACCGGAAAGCCTCGCCGCGGTTCGGCTCGACATTTACGGCCACGATTGCTCTCGATCGAGGAAAATCTCGGCTCTGTCGCGATATACCGGGACACTATCTCTTTCGTTCGATACCTTAAGGGTTAAAAAGTCGCGATCGGCAACGGTTTGCCGCGTGTACGCGCAAGATAGGAACGAACTGACGACGGACGGCCTCGTCGACCGCACGCCTC